GTTCGGGCCAGCTTGCTTTAGTCGATGTCTGGTGAGTTCCGGGGCAACGTGGACCAAGAAACCCGGAACCCCAGTTTGAACTCACGAATCCCAGTTTGGACCTACCAAGGGTCATGGAGTAACTTTGAATCCCAGTTTGAACCCCCGGACCGATTCCGCTCGATTCCGCTTCCTGCAGCTCCCGAGTGCTGCGCTTCTCCAGCAAACCCTGCCGGATGTTTCGCAAACGGGTGCGCTTTTGAAACCCTGATCTTGAGTACCAACTCCAAGTGAATCCTCACCCAAACGCAGTTGGCGCCAAAATTTCCGAGCCTTGCTGCTTTCCCATTTGAAGAGAAAACAAGAGGAAACCCTCGAGGAACATGTGGATCCCGTGAGAATCCGCCAGACCCCCAAAGACATCCCCGGTCAAGAGGTTCAGTGGATCCAAGATCCCAGTTGCATTCAGCCATTTTTCGCCTGCTTTCGGGTGTGCATCCAGCCGAATGAAGGAGATACACCATGGAGGACCTTGGTCATTGAACAAATCCCATGGAAAGCAGCGGGTATTTGGCTGTGTCTTTTTTTAGGGAGGACCCAGCCCAAGAGTCCCTGAGAGTAGGCTTTTTTAGGTCTTTAAGGTACTCTCTGAGCACTTTTGCTCTCCAGCTAGGTTTTTTAGGTACCCTCTCAGCACATTCTGCTTCTAAGAGCACAAAATGCTGAGAGGGTACCTAAAAACCTAAAAAGCCTAGCCTCCCCCAACATGGTGGTTCCCTTTAGTTTCCCTATCAACAAACCACACATCCATTTGGGTTAAAACTAACGAGGACACTCATGCGGATTCTGGGTCGCCCCCAGAGGACCTCCTGAAAAACACAACTCTACCAAAGGGCCTTTGGGATCTCGTCTTGCTTTGCAGGAGGTGATGGGAACTCAAGTGGGTTAGTACACCCATAAACCCTAAGATCAGTCAAGTGTTCCCAACATGGAACCAGTCCCTTGGAGGATCACACCCTCAGTTGACTCATGCATCGGGCGGGGTGGGGCTAGGGGTGAGACATAGCCGACAATGCCCGAGGCCGAAGCGAGAACTACTCACTTCCGATCGAGTTGATTGGCCAAACACAGCAAGCAAACTTTGTTTGCCACAAACCAACCAACCAACCAACCAACCAACCAACCCATCACCAGACCTAATAAAAAACCAGACCTAGTAAAATAAAAAACACTACCTCCACCAACATGGTCTCACCAAAAAGTGACTAAAGTCCGAAACACTCAGGGAGTGAGACTTGCATCGATCGCGAGCCTTCCCATCCCATCGGAAGGCAGCAAGTTGTTCCTTCTGTAGCAACTAGAGATCTGTAGCACAAGACAGAGATCACTTCATCCCACATGACACTTGCTGAGGGAGTTGTGAGCCTGGGGCGGAACACGGGAGCATGGGTTGGGCCCAGTTTCTGGGAAAACGTCGTGTTTCTTTGCGCATAGCCAAGGGCAAAGGTGCAAGATGATCCCATTGAACCAAATACCAACCCGGCAACCGCTTCCAAGCATGGTTCTGAGTGCACGTCATGGTGGCCAGATAGAGATTTGAAATCGCGGATTCGTCGAGGGCATCTTCAGGTGTTTCGTTCTTTGGAGATGTGGAGGTTATACCACTAGGGCCCTTCGTCTGCCCTCATTCCTTGAACAACGCCTGAAGCTACACACTTCCAAACAACCCCTAAACCAAACCAACAATTGGCCATCGACATGCTATGACTGAAGTGGCCATAAAGGTCAGGATAGCTGTTTCGAGGTTGAACTAAAAGAAACAAGGTGCAACCCCATTGTTTCATTGAGAGAAACTGAAAATTGCCATCTTTCCCCGGGACTGACATGGGACAGAACGGTCCTGCCGACCTAGAAAACTGTTTGGATGTAGGAAATTAAAAGAGAGCTAAAGGAGTACTAAAGAAGAACCTACAGGGGGAAGAAAAATCGGTGAAATCCAGAAAAACACGCAAATCCAAACTGTTTCTAGATTTGAGGGAACTTGCTGCCAGCCGCGTCCTCCCCAAAAAAAGCAAGGGACTAGCAGCGCTGCCTCGCGCCCCTCCTTCCCCGGTCCTTCTCGATGCGGAGGTCGTCGATCTGCTGGAGAAGGAGCCTCTCTGGGTTGAAGGAACTTAGTATTCGCAAGCTGACTTGCAAGGCTCCACCGGCTTGGACATTCCTGACAAATCACGTTTAAGGTCCCATGCATGTTATTAATATGCGGGGCAAATCAGGAATTTCCGAAGTCAGAGACCTTCACGAGTGAGATCCTTACTGTGCAATGCGAGCAAGGATGACAATTTGCGCAATGCGATGTCTTTAGGCTGTCCCGAAAGATCCCAAAACGCTTTCAGGGGGTGTGGCTTGGGTAACAAAACCACAGGATGTCGCTCGTTCGAGCCGGTCGGCGCCGTTTGAGGTAGACCCTTCTGGCAACCTTCGGAGGGAACCCGGGTCACGACCCCGCAAACCCCCACCTGGAGCCGGGACCTTTCAGGGAACGGGACCCGATCCTATGCCTGGTGGGGCTCAGGGGCTCCCAAGTTTCGCAAAGTCAAAGGCCAAGGGCCACCGTTCGCAAAAAATAATAATAATAAAAAAAACACCGTTCGGGCTTCCAGAGCCGTTGGGTTCACCGAACCGGCCACATGGCTCAAGAACGGATCGACTCTACCCATGTTTTCAGAATCATAGGAGGCCATCCGCCAATGGAGTTGGGGCCATACCTTCGCATCTCGAGACCTCGCGGAAGCGTGCCTCGAGTGCACGGCCGCGAGGCTGTTGCTGGGATCCAGGTCACACTGGGCCTGGCAAAAACCGAAAACCGAAACCGGGCTCCGAGAGATACGGCGTCTGGAGAGATACGGCGGGTGCAAAACACGGTTGTTGCAGTAAACCAAGCGTACTCAACCACGCAACCATGGGAATTTGGTGTCAAGGGGATGGTTTTCATTTGTTCCGCTTGCAATCTGTCGGGCATCCACCGGAAAAATATGGGTTCACATCTGCCAAATGTGTGCCTAAGGACTCACGTCCCACGGAGTGGATTGGCAAAAGAACAAGCAACAACCTTTATTTACTGAAATGGTACGCACAAAGCCAGACCAAAGTCGCGTTTCGGAACTCGAGTGAGCCTGTTGGTTGGGAGTGCTATCTGGTGGCCCAACAAGATGCTTGTGAGTTGAGACCAGGGCCAGTGTAGCTGGTGGGGGGTCCAATCTGGGTTGCTCTTCCGGAGCAAACGTCATCGATCGCCTTTAGGCTTACTGCAAAAACACATGTTTGCTTCCAAAAGGAAAAGGAAACTTGGTCACACCAAAGATCAGCCATGAAACCAACCTCACTTAAGTTCGGAATTCCAAGGGCCTCAAATGGCCTCAACCTGTAGCGACGCGAAAAAACTGCCAACCCTGGGATTTCACAGCCCGAAATTTGCTTCCTAACTCTCAGTCTGTGGGTCTTGTTGATTCTTAGATTTCTTCAGTTTCTGCCCATTGGAGCCTCCGGTAAACCTGCGGAAAGACTGTTGGGCAAAGATCAGCTCTGCACCAGAAAAACGTCCAGGAAGTCCGCGGCAAGATTCCCCTAAAAGGATGTGGAAGGACTCATGCCAGCCTCACACATCAGTTCAACCTCCTTTCAAACAGATTCGCTCAGGCAAAGTGTGCTATCTGAAGGCTCCATCCTTTTTTGTTGGCTCGGCTGTAGCATACCTTTCCCTGGCTTCTTAAGACACTAAGTGGAAACAGCTCCGCAGCCACATGGTCCGTGCAAAGCCCTCCGTCCTCGACCGTCGCCTGTTCAGCCGCTGTGACCGCGCCTGAACTGGCTGACTCACAGAACGCATGAGGGCCCGCAAACAGTCAACTTCCTTAAACTAGGCTGGAATTAGGACCCCAGCAAAACTTTTTTTTTTGCCTGGATAGTGGAAAGCAAAGGGACCCCCAAAAAGCAAAAAAAAAAAAAACGAAAAGGGGAGCTGATTCTGGGGGAGCTTACTGCTTGGTCAAACGGACATGCACGCCCAAAACGGCTTTCGAGGGAAAGATTGGTTGAGTCCAATGACACTCAAGACTTCTTTTGAGGGAAATCTTGAGTCTGGCAGTGACAGCATGTCAACTTGTCGCTTGGCAAAGATTAAAATCATGTAATATTGCTTCTCCTAAAGAGCCCTGGGCGCCTTCAGCTCGTCCCAGAAATGATTTTTAGGGGGGTCCCGATTCCTTGAATGGACATGATTAGGGGGATTCATGTCCACTTAGGTGCCTCCCTATCAAAATCCATGAGGTGGTTGTCCGCAGCCTGACAACGAATGGCGGTTAAGGCTATTCTGACCCATGAGTGGAAAAGCTGGTATTTAGTATACCTCTGACTGAAAAGGTGCTATTTAACCATTGGAAACCTCGTGTTTCGATTATACGAAAGACGGCTTCTTGGAGAAGGGGACCTATTTTTTGCTTGTTCGGTCCCGGCTGTTGGAAACTCCTCGGGATTTTTTTCCGCGAATGCGCCTTCAGAACCTGTCTCGCTCCTTCCGAGTCTAGGCTTTTCCACGGTCCAAAATAGTGATGGCACTGTTGTAAATGTTGGGGGCTTCGCCGGCTGAGTTGTTCCAGGGCTTGCAAGACCCACAGATCCCATCTTCCGATCTTCCCAGACCGAAGGTTTGCCCGCGACTCTATGGAGCGCAGGCTCCCATTCTCAACCCTTGAGTATGGCGACAAACTGGCTGTTCTTTGCAGGCAAGACCAAGAAGGCTCCACCAAAACGCCCTCCCTGCCACCTAGATAATCTCTTGTGACTTGCCCATACTTTTCCCTGAAATCAAACACTAGCCCTCATCCTGAGAAACCTGAGCTGAGAATTGAAGAGCTAACGGCTTCACTTCAGATTGAGGTTCTGACTGGCAAAGCAAACAAACCACCAAAACATACCAGCGGCAAACAAACGCAACACACCAAACACGCGCAAAAACACACCGAAGCCGACTCGTCCCCGCCTGCGTCCGGGCGCTGCGGAGTGCGCGCCTCACTCAACCCAAAAACGTAAATCGATCTGAAAACAAAACGGGATGGAAACGCCCAACCGGCGAACAAACATGAAAAAGAGAAGCCCATGCCAATAATTGAGAAATGTATGCTTGATTACTGCTGGGTTCTTTTGAGGCACTGAGGAACCCCCTGTTGGTTCAAATAGACATCAACAGAAAGCCCTTTGGTTAACAGTGCCTCGTGTTTGGCCTGAAACAGGGTTGCTCCGAGCTTCTGGGTGACCAAGCCAGGGTAAAGAATTAGTATCGACCCTTGATTTGACGCCCATTGTTTATTACCGGAGAACAAGCCTGATTAAGAGCTGGGGGGGTCCTTCCCCGGCAAACTTCCATGGGAAGATCGAGGGCTTGCAGCAGACAGCTCGGTTTCGCCCTTTCTTGCCATGATCTCTCGTGTCGCCCCCAAGAGGGGCAGCTCATTTACCGAAGGCTAAATGAAGCCAGGTCCAAGCCCGAGTCGTCTTAAGAAACCCTTCTTTATGAGTCTTCCCAAGTTGGTTTGAGGGGAGCCCCTTATCAATAGCTGCTCAAGTTCACACAGAACACCAAGATTTCTGGGTCCTCACAGATGCAAGAAAAGAAGCATGATGGGAACCACTTGGTCGGAGGAAGACATCCGCAAGATGTCTTCCATAGTTGCCGCAACAAGAAACACACCTTCGCGAAAACATGTGCATCCCAAGACGTTTCTTGTTTCTTGTGTGCATCCTCGATCGTTTCTTCCCAAGCCGTCGGATTTTCGTCAGCCAAGTTCGATGTAGCCCCCCCTCCAATACACATGCGACCAAACATGCCCCGCAAACCGCTTTTTATCTGCTTGCCTCAGCTTCCTGGTCGGGTGATGTCGAAAGGGGCAATATAAGGACCAAGGAACCTTGTACAGGGCTTCACGTTTGGATTACCCCCAACATCGTATAGTTGTTTCCGTTCTTGGTCACTTGTAGCCTTGTAAAACCGTCTACATTCCTCAAAGGATTGCTGGCCATTCCTGCTGAAAACAAGGTCAACATGTTCCTTCCAAGTTGTTTGGTCAAGCTAGAACCTGGCGATTCTATCCTACTAAGGACCAGCCAACCGGTGACTGCAATGGACACAGGATCTACCCTTCCGACCTGACACCTGAGCTTCCTGAAAGACAATTCTCTTGAACCGACCCTAGGTCCTCCAGGAGGTTAGAATAAGGGTAACCTTTTTTTTGTAGTCTGTTTTAGTAGGGGAACCCTCCCCCAAAAAGACTTGGTAAAAGGGCACTACTGGGTGCTGGGGGACCTAGAACCTGTCAGATTCCGTGTGCTCCAAGGGGAGTTTCTCCTGAAGAAAATGCGGCGGATCCGCCCGAGCAGAGCTCTGAGCCGAGCTCCACGGGTGCTCCGGGCGGATGCGCCGCTCCTGGCCGAAAAAGTTCGGATCCCTACTTTCGGAATGCTAAACCGAGAACACAAGGAACCACCCCGCATTTTAGGGGGGGGAGGGTTCCTACTGTGGACGAAATCCATTTCGCACCACTTGGAAACCATGGGAAACCATTGTTTGTTGGTATTTTCAGGGGAATCATCAGAAACCAGGGTTTCTTAGGTGGTGCAGGATTTTGTCCATCCACAGTATTACTATGGTGAGAAACACGCAGAGGTGTCCTACCACCGAAGTCGGTCACCATCACTCCCACGAAAAGGGGAGAACAAGAATCGTTTGTCCAGAGTCAGCCTCATATTTGGCACCGACATATAGCTTCGGAAATTCCCACAGGGTCACCGGTGCAACCTGGGTCCCCCCGTTTTTCGGGGAAGAACCCTGCGCAGTGGGGTTAACTTGGTCTGTTGCCCCCCCTGCGAAAAGTGTTTGGCTGGTTTGGGGTTTAAAGTCAGATCCAACATAGCAGTCAAGGTCCAGGGAGCTCCTGCAGTCGAAGCAACGCATCAGAGACATCCTGAAGCTCAGCTCGGCCGACTCGCTCGGGGCGAGCCTGAAGCTTTCTTCGTGGTTCTGTTGAGCACGGAAAAGGATGGAGAGCATGAGGAAACACCGGCAACCAAATGAGGGGCTAAGAGTTCCATTTGCACAAACCCATGGCGCTGGCAAATGATGGGGTCCGGGCTGATGCCAGTGGAATTCATTCAATTAGTTGCAATCCAAACTGACCAAGGCGATTTATCCACCCCCTTTTTGGGCCAGGTTCAGAAGGGAAAAACAACTGCTCCCTGAAAACTAACCTGGAGCACAACAGTGTGCCAAAGGCCAAAAAAGATCTTCTGGATAATGCTGTAATTTGGGTTCCATCCACGAATTGGTGATTCCTGGGAGAGGGAATTTCTGAATTTCATGGATCTGTGCTCAAAAACTGGCTGCGTTCCTTTGAGTGGTTGGAAGCCACAAGTGCTCTTTTTTTACGGCACCCCTTCCCATCCACCTTCAGCCCGTCCAGAAAGTCGGGACTCTGAGACATCGGCCTTCGCGCAAGCGAACAATTTGCCGGGCAACACAGCCCCTCCCCGCTTTCTGGTTGATTTCCCGAGCCGTTTCCCAAATATGTTTTTCCCCTCAAGACGCGGGTGTTTGGCGTGCTGCAATCCTGGGGTTACCCTCCCTTGGGGGTTGGTCTCTGACCCGCACTGATCCATTCGCCAGTGGGGCACGATCATTCTGCCAAACAAGGTGGTTCCGGTGAAACCAACCTGCAACGCTGTTAATGCCTTACCCGGCAGAACGAATCCGGTCCTAAAATTGAGAAGCTAGAAAGCTTCCGAAGTCGCAACCCGTCTGGAAATCCATAAAATTATCCCGCATACGGTGCTCCCCCGCTGGACTTTCCTCAAACCTGCGGCGACAATCCTTCAGTGCTGGACTCGTCTACTCTAGGCCATGGGCTATGTTCAAACCGTTCAAAGCTAGGCAACCGGGGTAAGGGAAACTAACCGCAGGCACCATAGCTCCCGGTGGTTTTTCTCTACGGTTGAAGTGGGCTTCAAAAAAAGGTTTGCCTCAGCTTCTCAGCAGGGCTCCGCCTCTGCGTGGATCCGAATAGGGGAACCCCAAAGCTTGCCCTGGTGCATGGAAAGGACTAAAACCTGCGGTTCCCTGGTGGTGAAGTGTTGACCCATACCCTCTTCTTGAGCTTTGATTGGCTCCTGGTAACGTTAGGTTAAATCGTTGAACATCGGAATGCCGGGAAATCAAAACCAACTCGCTGTCCTTTTGGTAACGGTCGGGGTTTTGGGCCGGGTTCAGAGCAACCACCCCCAACTCCAACTACCCGCTTTTGTAGGGATTGAATTGAAAAGGAAGGTACTGGCTGTGGAGAACCTGCTCTTTGAACAAAAAGCAGGCAATGGATATTTGCAGTGGGCGCCTGAGGGGCTATGAGGGGCTATCACCTAAGCCCTCAAGGCCCTGGGCTTGTCCTTGCCTTGAGTCTCGCAATGTCTAAACGTAGAAAGCCCTTGGCAATGACGGTGCCTGTGGGATCGAACCTCCGTTTGGTACTTGGCTTCAAAGGGAAACTGTCCAAAAAGGACCAAAAGGGCGAAATTGCGGAAATGGAGGTCTGGGGCGCGAAGTGCACACATGGGAGTACTCGTTTTGCCCCGGTTCGGTGTACAAAGGGTGATTGGCTTTGAACATAGGCCAACCAAACAAGTCGCTTTTTCTGGACGAGGATAGCAAATCCGCTTGGTCCGGGGCGTCGGCTCTTGCAGCAAGGTCCTCCAAGACCATAAAGAGCCTCGCTTCGGAGCTTGCTTGCAATGCCAAAAATGGCCGGAGCATTTAGAACTGCAATCCTGGCATATGGAGGCATGTGTGCCTTATCAAAGTCAATGGCGTCAATGGCACGCGCCGGCAGCCAGCGCGAAGAGTGAAGATGGCATACATACTCCTTCAAGATCCGATCTGGAGTCTTGGGTTCATCCGCAGTTGCAAGCACCTTCGGTATTCAATACGTAGTCCAACTCCCTCTCTTTTCTATCCAACTGACTTCATGTCCAATGATCAGTCTGTCGATGGACATCGGTTCCATCGAAAGCAGTCTTTCTCGAGCGTAGGATTTGGGAGCAGGATCGAACGCGAATCCAAACATCGATCTGCTGCTCTTCCTCCTCACCATCGCCGACATCAGCTGCTCTCACGCGACTCATAATGCTCGCACAGGCAGATTTCATTGTAGAACCTACCCAGCCTGCTCACTTGAGCAACGACCCAAACAACTCGACTTTTTGTTCTACTAAGATGGGATATGAAACTTGTGTATGGGTCCTACTATGATCCATGAAACAACTAAAAAAACAGGTAGAGACTAGTGGCTCACATGGCCCAATGAGAATCAGCTTTGGGCGCCGCTCGCTCGATTCTGGGAAGGGCACAAAAACTGAAAAAGGAAACTCAGTTGTTCAGTGACCCTGGTTTGCATTTTTGGAGGGGCAGCCACCGAAACCAAGCAAAAAGAGGTGCCACTGAACAACTGAGGAAATGTATGGAGGTTTCCTGGCAGGGCAACTTGTTGGAGATGAAACTACATCGAACCCTGACAGAGCACAAACTGAATCGCAGCATGGCAAGGGAAAGCCAGGGGATCGGTTTGAATGGCATAGACCTCCAGCATCCGAGGGCAACGCCTAAGGTCGCGTCCTGTTCACAATGATCCACGTCCCAGGCCACTCAGCCAGATCTGGTCTTAGCTACGCTCCAGAAGGCCAACTCCTCTTTTCCCGAATGCGGCAGAAGGGTTCCCGTTTTGGAAAGCCCGGTCAGCATGTTAAGCGTCCGCATGCGGACGGAAGCGGTCCGAAGCCAGCGCACGCAAATGGCAAAGGTGGCCGGGCCGTTGGGGGAAGGCTCGGACTGGGGGATTTGCCACATGTTACTTTCCTTCGGTGACCAGGTCTCTCACAGCCTCTGCATTCCAACAGGTCCAACAGGGTTGCCCAAAAGATACATCCAGGCATGACAACATGAGCTAGTTCACAAAGGATCCTCCAAATCCACTGGCAAATATTGGGGCCAATATGTTTTTGAAATAAAATTGCCATAATTTATATTGAATTGGGGCCAATCATTTAAATTAATGAAATTGGGCAATATCCGCCGACAACAGACGGCGTGTTGGACACAAAAAATGCTCCTTACCTCTTTCCTCTTTACCTGTTACCCCTCCCCTAACCCCTCCCCAGGGGCACCATTTCAGACTATTGCGGGGGGGGGGGTCCACGTACCACGCGGTGATTCGAAGACGCTTCACTAAATCTGTTCATTGTGCGGGCTTGCGCAACTCATTCTGTCAAAAACATTGGGGTGTTCGATTCCCCCCGGGTGCGCTTTCGCATCCTTAGCAGCTAAGATCTGAGAAAAAATGCCTTAAGGGGGAAAGGGGGGAGAAGATCTTTGGGAGGAAAAGGGAAATCTTTCTCGGGGGGAACAGGCCCTACGGGGCAATGGGGGGACAGGATCTCAAACGGGAAAGGGGGAAAAAGACTTTGGGAAGAGAAGGGTGGAGATCTTGGGGGGACAAGGCTTTAGGGGGGAAACGGGGGAAAGGATCTTAAGCGGGAAAGGGGGGAAAAGATCTTAGGGAGGCAAAGGGAGACGAACTCAGGGTGCGCAAAGGCCTTAGGGGGGACAGGGGGGAAAGGATCTCAATAAAGAAAGGTGGGAAAAGCTCTTAGGGAGGAAAAGGGAGAAGATCTCAGGGGGGAAAAGGCCTTAGGGGGGAAAGGGGGGAAAGGATCTCAACAGGGAATGGCGGGAAAACATCTTAGGGAGGAAAAAGGAGGAAAAGGGATATGATCTCAGGGGGGGGACAAGGCCTTGGGGGGAAAGGGGGGGAAAGGAGGGGAAAGGATCGAAAAGCGAGAAGATCTCAGGGGGGGAAACGGCCTTAAGATCTCAGGGGGGGAAAGGCCTTAGGGGGGAAAGGGGGAAAGGATCTCAACACGGAACGGGGGCAAATGATCTTAGGGAGGAAAAGGGAGAAGATCTGAAAGGGCCTTCGGGGGGAAAGGGGGGGAAAGGATCTCAACAGGGACAGGGAGAAAAGATACTAGGGAGGCAAAGGGAGAAGATCTCGAGGGGAAAGGGGGAAAGGATCTCAACCGGGGGAAAAGATCTTGGGGAGGCAAAGGGAGAAGGCCTTAGGGGGGAAAGGGGGGAAAGGTTCTCAACAGGGAAAGGGGGGAAAACATCTTAGGGAGGAGAAGGGAGAAGATCTTGGGGGGAAAAGGCCTTAGGGGGGAAAGGGGGGGAAAGGATCTCAACAAGGAAAGTGGGGGAAAAAAAAGGCCTTAGGGGGGAAAGGGGGGAAAGGCTCTCAACAGGGAAAGGTGGCAAAAGATCTTAGGGGAGGAAAAGGGAGAAGATCTCAAGGGAAAAGGACTTAGGGAGGAAAGGGGGGGAAAGATCTTTGGGAGGAAAAGGGAGAAGAACTGAGGGTGGGAAAAGGCCTTAGAAGGAAAAGGGGGGAAATAAATGATCTCAACAGGGAACTGGGGGGGGGGGGAAAGATCTTAGGGAGGAAAGGCAGAAGATCTGGGGCAAAAAGGCCTTAGGGGGGAAAGGGGAGAAATGATCTCAACAGGGAAAGGGGTGGAAAAGATCTTAGGGAGGAAAGGGAGAAGATCTGGGGAAAAAAGGCCAACAGGGAAAGGGGGGAAAAGATCTTAGGAAGGAAAAGGGAGAAGCTCTCAGGGGGGGAAAGGCCTTGGGAGGGAAAGGGGAAAAAAGATCTCAACAGGGAAAGGGTGGGAAAGATCTTAGGGAGGAAAGGGGGGGGAATATCTTAGGGAGGAAAGGGGGAAGATCTGGGAGAAAAGGACTTAGGGGGGAAAGCCCAACAGGGAAAGGGGGGACAAGATCTTAGGAAGGAAAAGGGAGAAGCTCTCAGGGGGGGGAAAGGCCTTAGGGGGGAAAGGGGGAAAAGGATCTCAGAAGGGAAAGGGGAGGGGGGAAAAATCTTAGGGAGGAAAGGGAGAAGATGGGGACAAAGGCCTTAGGGGGGAAAGGGGAGAATTGATCTCAACAGGGAAAGGGGTGGAAAAGATCTTAGGGAGGAAAGGGAGAAGATCTGGGGGAAAAAAGGCCAACAGGGAAAGGGGGGAAAGATCTAAGGAAGGAAAAGGGAGAAGCTCTCAGGGGGGAAAGGCCTTAGGCGGGAAAGGGTGGGAAGGATCTCAACAGGGAAAGGGGGGAAACAATCTTAGGAAGGAAAAGGGAGAAGATCTGGAAAGGCCTTAAAGGGAAGGGGGGAAAGGAACGGGGAAAGGGGGCAAAGGATCTTAAGGAGGAATAGGGAGAAGATCTCAGCGGGGGGAAAGGCCTTAGGAAGGAAAGGAGGGAAAGGATCTCAACAGGGAAAGGGGGGGAAAGATCTCAGTGAGGAAAGGGAAAAGCTCCCAGGCAGGGAAAAGGCCTTAGGGGGGAAAGGGGGAAAGGATCTCAACAGGGAAAGGGGGCAAAGGATCTTAGGGAGGAAAAGGGAGAAGATCTGAAAAGGCCTTCGGGGGAAGAGGGGGAAAGGAGCTCAACAGGGAAAGGTGGGAGAAGATCCTAGGGAGGAAAAGGGAGAAGATCTCGAGGGAAAGGGGGAAAGGATCTCAACCAAGGGAAAAGATCTTGGGGAGGACAAGGGAGAAGATCTCAGGGGGGGAAAGGCCTTAGGGGGGAAAGGGGGGAAAGGATCTCAACAGCGAAAGGGGGCAAAGGATCTTAGGGAGGAAAAGGGAGAAGATCTTGGGGGGGAAAACGCCTTAGGGGGGAAAGGGCGGGAAAGGATCTCAACAAGAAAAGGGGGGAAAAGATCTTAGGAAGGAAAAGGGGGAAGATCGCGGGGGGAAAAAAGGCCTTAGGGGGGAAAGGAGGGAAAGGATCTCAACAGGGCGAGGGGGGAAAATATCGTAGGGAGGAAAAGGGACAAACTCGGAGGGGGAAAGGGGGAATGGATCTCAACAGGGAAAGGTGGCAAAAGATCTTAGGGAGGAAAAGGGAGAAGATCTCAGGGAGGGAAAGGCCTTACGGGGGAAAGGGGGGACAGGATCTGAGCAGGGAAAGGAAGGGAAAGATCTTAGGGAGGAAAGGGAGAAGATCTGGGGGCAAAGGCCTTAGGGGGGAAAGGGGAGAAATGATCTCAACAGGGAAAGGGGTGGAAAGGATCTTAGGGAGGAAAGGGAGAAGATCTGGGGGAAAAAAGGCCAACAGGGAAAGGGGGGAAAAGATCTTAGGAAGGAAAAGGGAGAAGCTCTCAGGGGGGGAAAGGCCTTAGGGGGGAAAGGGGGAAAAGGATCTCAGCAAGCAGGGAAAGGGGGGAAACAATCTTAGGAAGGAAAGGGGGGGGAAGGTCTTAGGGAGGAAAGGGAGAAGATCTGGGAGAAAAGGACTCAGGGGGGAAAGCCCAACAGGGAAAGGGGGAAAAGATCTTAGGAAGGAAAAGGGAGAAGCTCTCAAGTGGGGAAAGGCCTTGGGAGGGAAAGGGGGGGAAGGATCTCAACAGGGAAAGGGTGGGAAAGATCTTAGGGAGGAAAGGGGGGGAAGATCTTAGGGAGGAAAGGGAGAAGATCTGGGAGAAAAGCACTTAGGGAAGAAAGCCCAACAGGGAAAGGGGGGAAACGATCTTAGGAAGGAAAAGGGAGAAGCTCTCAGGGGTGGGAAAGGCCTTAGGGGGGAAAGGATCTCAGCAGGGAAAGGGGGGGGGAAAGATCTTAGGGAGGAAAGGGAGGAGATTTGGGGACAAAGGCCTTAGGGGGGAAAGGGGAGAAATGATCTCAACAGGGAAAGGGGTGGAAAAGATCTTAGGGAGGAAAGGGAGAAGATCTGGGGGAAAAAAGGCCAACAGGGAAGGGGGGAAAGATCTAAGGAAGGAAAAGGCAGAAGCTCTCAGGGGGGGGAAAGGCCTTAGGCGGGAAAGGGTGGGAAGGATCTCAACAGGGAAAGGGGGGAAACAATCTTAAGAAGGAAAAGGGAGAAGATCTGGAAAGGCCTTAAAGGGAAGGGGGGAAAGGAACGGGGAACGGGGGCAAAGGATGTTAAGGAAGAATAGGGAGAAGATCTCAGCGGGGGGAAAGGCCTTAGGAAGGAAAGGAGGGAAAGGATCTCAACAGGGAAAGGGGGCAAAGGATCTTCGGGAGGAACAGGGAGCAGATCTGAAAAAGCCTTAGGCGGAAAAGGGGGAAAGGAGCTCAACAGGGAAAGGTGGGAGAAGATCCTAGGGAGGAAAAGGGAGAAGATCTTGGGGGGAAAGGGGGAAAGGATCTCAACCAAGGGAAAAGATCTTGGGGAGGACAAGGGAGAAGATCTCAGGGGGGGAAAGGCCTTAGGGGGGAAAGGGGGGAAAGGATCTCAACAGGGAAAGGGGGCAAAGGATCTTAGGGAGGAAAAGGGAGAAGATCTAAGGGGGGAAAGGATCTCAACAAGGAAAGGGGGGAAAAGATCTTAGGAAGGAAAAGGGGGACGATCGCGGGGGGAAAAACGGCCTTAGGGGGGAAAGGAGGGAAAGGATCTCAACAGGGAGAGGGGGGAACATATTGTAGGGAGGAAAAGGGGAAAACTCAGAGGGAGAAAGGGCCTTGGGGGGGGAAAGGGGGAATGGATCTCAACAGGGAAAGGTGGCAAAAGATCTTAGGGAGGAAAAGGGAGAAGATCTCAGGGGGGGAAAGGCCTTAGGGGGGAAAGGGGGGAAAGGATCTGAGCAGGGAAAGGGGGGGAAAGATCTTAGGGAGGAAAGGGAGAAGATCTGGGGGCAAAGGCCTTAGGGGGGAAAGGGGAGAAATGATCTCAACAGGGAAAGGGGTGGAAAAGATCTTAGGGAGGAAAGGGAGAAGATCTGGGGGAAAAAAGGCCAACAGGGAAAGGGGGGAAAGATCTAAGGAAGGAAAAGGGAGAAGCTCTCAGGGGGGGAAAGGCCTGAGGGGGGAAAGGGTGGGAAGGATCTCAACAGGGAAAGGGGGGAAACAATCTTAGGAAGGAAAAGGGAGAAGATCTGGAAAGGCCTTAAAGGGAAGGGGGGAAAGGATCTCAACAGGGAAAGGGGGCAAAGGATCTTAAGGAGGAATAGGGAGAAGATCTCAGCGGGGGGAAAGGCCGTAGGGGGGAAAGGGGGGAAAGGATTCCAACAGGGAAAGGGGGGGAAAGATCTCAGGGAGGAAAGGGAAAAGTTCCCAGGGAGGAAAAGGCCGGAGGGGGGAAAGTGGGGGAAAGGGAGGAAAAGGGAGAAGATCTCAGGGGGGAAAAGGCCTTAGGGGGGAAAGGGGGGAAAGGATCTCAACAGGGAGAGGGGGGAAAACATCTTAGGGAGGAAAAGGGCAAAAAACAGAGGGAGAAAAGGCCTTAGGGCGGAAAGGGGGAATGGATCTCAACAAAGAAAGGGGGGCAACAATCTCAGAGGGGAAGGGGGCAAGGGGACAATTCCAAAGGGACGCAAATAAGAAAGCAGGCCTGTAATGTCGGCGGCCTGAGCCGGAGGCGTTAAAAAAGTAAGGCTCGGGGCCCTCAAACTCTCATCGCACCCTGTCCCTTTCGCACCCTGTCCCTTCTATGAGCTCGAGCAGGCCCTGTCCTGTCCTCACCCTGACGCCAACTAGCTTTAGACACCATGGCATACATTCCATTCTTCCATTTGCCTAAGCCCCCTGGAAAAATAAGCTATATTTCCAGTAGTGATCGATTCCCTTTAAAACCAAAAAAGGGAACAAATAACACATACAAACTATACTTCCAGTAGTGATCGATTCCCTTTAAAACCAAAACAAGGAACACATAACACATACAAACTATATTTCCAGTATAGTGATCGATTCCCTGTAAAACCAAAAAGGGAACAAATAACACAAACAAACTATACTTCCAGTAGTGATCGATTCCCCTTAAAACCAAAACAAGGAACACATAACACATACAAACTATATTTCCAGTAGTGATCGATTCCCTTTAAAACCAAAACAAGGAACACATAACACAAACAAACTATATTTCCAGTAGTGATCGATTCCCATTAAAACCAAAAAGGGAACAAATAACACATACAAACTATATTTCTAGTATAGTGATCGATTCCCTTTAAAACCAAAAAAGGGAACAAATAACACATACAAACTATACTTCCAGTAGTGATCGATTCCCTTTAAAACCAAAACAAGGAACACATAACACATACAAACTATATTTCCAGTATAGTGATCGATTCCCTGTAAAACCAAAAAGGGAACAAATAACACAAACAAACTATACTTCCAGTAGTGATCGATTCCCCTTAAAACCAAAACAAGGAACACATAACACATACAAACTATATTTCCAGTAGTGATCGATTCCCTTTAAAACCAAAACAAGGAACACATAACACAAACAAACTATATTTCCAGTAGTGATCGATTCCCATTAAAACCAAAAAGGGAACAAATAACACATACAAACTATATTTCTAGTATAGTGATCGATTCCCTTTAAAACCAAAAAAGGGAACAAATAACACATACAAACTATACTTCCAGTAGTGATCGATTCCCTTTAAAACCAAAACAAGGAACACATAACACATACAAACTATATTTCCAGTAGTGATCGATTCCCTTCAAAACCAAAAAGGGAACAAGTAGCACATACAATCCAGTAGTGATCGATTCCCTTTAAAACCACAACAAGGAACAAGTAACACATACAATCCAGTAGTCATCGATTCCTTTTAAAACCAAAAAGGGAACACATAACACATACAAACTATATTTTTAGCAGTGATCGTTTCCCTTTAAAACCAAAAAGGGACAAGTAACACATACAAACTATATATTTCCAGTATAGTGATCGATTCCCTTTAAAACCAAAAAGGGAACAAATAACACAAACAAACTATACTTCCAGTATAGTGATCGATTCCCTTTAAAACCAAAAAAGGGAACAAATAACACATACAAACTATACTTCCAGTAGTGATCGATTCCCTTGAAAACCAAAAAGGGAACAAGTAGCACATACAATCCAGTAGTGATCGATTCCCTTTAAAACCAAAAAGGGAACAAGTAACACATACAATCCAGTAGTCATCGATTCCTTTTAAAACCAAAAAGGGAATACATAACACATACAAACTATATTTTTAGCAGTGATCGATTCCCTTTAAAACCAAAAAGGGACAAGTAACACATACAAACTATATATTTCCAGTATAGTGATCGATTCCCTGTAAAACCAAAAAGGGAACAAATAACACAAACAAACTATACTTCCAGTATAGTGATCGATTCCCTTTAAAACCAAAAAGGGAACAAATAACACAGAAACTATATTTCCAGTTGTGATCGATTCCCTTTACAACCAAAAAGGGAAAAATAACACGTATTCGCTTCAGCAAATGGACTCTTGGCCATGTGAACTTTAAGCAGCCCTGTCCGATCAACCCCGGGTTCGAGGGCCTCTCTTGTTCCAGGGCGTCATTGGCAGCCTCACGGGCTATGAGCGCCCACGAAGGCTACGAGCCTCTTGAGAGAAGCCGGGGGTCCTGAACAAAACTCGGGAGAAGCCAAGTTCTTCCGGGCAAACTAATTACCCCTGGCATCACTCTGGTATCCTCTTTGTCATGCTGAATTCTACCTTTTTGTGTAAAATCTCATGTTTGACCCCGGGGATTTCAGACAAAAGGCTTCGTTGGATTGTTTCTGTGAGTGGGCCATCAAGGGCGCGAACTCCTACCCAGGTCCTTTTTTACCGGGTAAGCTCGCTACAAAAGCAGACCTCGGAAGCATCCCCTACTCCAAAAAAACGCTGTTGAAGGTACAAGTACAAGGACTGTCTCGTTTGACAAAACGAGCTTTCATAGCTTTTCTGTGTGAGGTGTTCTGAGGGGGGAAGCAACAATCACCTTCAGCCAGCCGCAGGCTTTGTGGGGCTGGATGCGAATTCCGATCAAGGCTCCCGCGGGCCATGGTCAGTGGAGTCATGATTTCTCAAGACAAAATGCGGAATGCGTATCAAGAAATAAACGGGCTTGTCTTGAGACCATAAATTGTACATGGGTTTGATGACCATTCCCTATTGATAATCTATTTACGGGTTGTATCGGGTTGATAACATCATGTGCTAGATTGCCAAAATTGCACATGGGGTTGATGACCATCCCTTCCAACACAGAATTGCAAGGGTCCCTGGCACACGTGACAGAAATGTGTGATGCATCTGACTCTTCATGCGGGCTAGAACAAGATAAAGTCAACCCCACGCAAATCAACATCTTGGATTCTTGGGGGGGGGGGTCCCTCAGCAGTGAAGCGTTCTCTCCAAAATGGATAAACATCGACCACTTGGGGATGAACATCGACCACTTGTGGGTGCTCAAACACTTGGTAACTAGGCTATAGCCACCGTCATAAGAACACTAACCCCGGCTGCCTGATCATAACCTACTTACGAAGTAGTGTGGCACCCAACAAGGGGCTTATAAACCCGTTCCCATACTCTGCGCCAGGGATTTGGGCACGGCCCTCATCGACTGTTCTCGCCGGAACTGGGGCAGCGGCCTGTTGATGAAACACGGATCGCATCTCCGCTAAGACCTGAAGGAAGGGAGTGCAACCAGCCCAGTGGGTTTTATGAGGGACCGTTTTGGTGGATGTCATGCAGGTGCGATTCATGTCCACCGACCACAGTCGGAAAACTAGAAAGTTCAACATAGACCCCCTCCAGCACCCTGTTGTTAAAGCACGAGGTCAACCCCTGATTAAGGCTAGAAGCGGTGACTGGCCCTTGAAAACGTACCTTAACAAAGACCGGTGAGTTGGACGATTTTGTCACACGCCCGCGGGCATTGGGATCATTGGGATGAAGGATTGAATCACTGAGATGTTCAATTCGGCCGCTCTTTCTTAGGGTTCTAACTGGGAGAAGGCACTCCTTGGCACTCCACCCGACATGTGCCGCTTTGGTGCCCCGGTCGACTCGGGGGCGAGGTCAAGATTTTCCAATGGGCTTGGGGGTTGGGAGGAGTGACTAGGACAAAGCAACGTGGGCTTTGCTTCAAACGGTAAGACCAGACTTAGACCCCTGCAAAAAGTGGGGGGTTCCCCGCATCCCATCACCATGGTTCGTTCCCGGTGATATGACAACAGACCCTGAACTAGTTGCTGCGCAAAAGAGACTGCGATGCCCCAACTTGGAAGGCCAAAAGGTGCAAGAAAAGGGTGTCTGGGACACAGGGCAAAATGGGACAAGCTACGGACTGCGCCAGAAGACAGGGAACAAAATACTTCCGAATGAGGCGCTGAAGTTGCGCCAGCATGGCAAATACCACAGCCGATCGTGAAGTGACTGCAGCATTTTGTGCCAGAAGGGGTCCAAGGAACTGACCACGTATCGCTGAAGTCGGTGTATAGGACCACGCATGGCTCCATCCAAGAAAAGAACGCAGCAAGTGCCAAAAAGTGCCGGCCACGCAGTGCCTCTCGGAGGAAGGAGGACATGGCTTGTACACACAGCAGCGGCAAAATCGAGCGAAGGACGGCATTACTGGCTCGTACCAACCGCCAGACCCGCCATAGAAGGCAAAAGCTGCTGCTAGAAAAATGAGATAGGGCGCAAGCAAGTACCTGTGGCTCGTCAGGATCAAAGAGCAAAAAACCCTGAGAATGCAACACAAGAGGCGTACCAAGAAAGCCCGATGACCACGGCCGCCATTCAGGAGAGCTCGGAAACACCATGGAGCGCCCGGAGCTGCGAAGATCAGGGTGGAACCTGAAGAAAGAGAACGCCCACACGCCCGGAAAGATCTCAGATCGAACATGGGCCGGCAACGCTCGAGTCGGGACTGCCCATTGCCGCAAAAAGGCCTCGAGCAACCATGGCTTAGTTTTGTTTGGCTGGTTGAAAGGAAACGTGACGAGAAGCCGAAAACAACAAAAACCGAGCCCGGCGCGAAACGTGAGTCCTGTTTTTTTTTTCCCCCTTTCCTTACCTTTTGAAGGACGAAAAACGAGTTGGCTAGGAAAAACCCTCGGGCCCCCCCAATTTCTCGCGCCGCGCCAAGTCGAGTTTCAAGTTGGCTTCGAGGCTTCGAGGCTTCGGCATTGTTCCGATTGATGGCCTGCTCGGCGAAATCTCGGAGCTGATTCCTGCCAGGCTGCCCGCCCCGTGGAGCAGCTTGAAACCGCTACCCGCCTGATCTCATGGTAAGTAACTATTCTGTAGTAATTCCTAGAAGTAGAAATGGAATGCTTGGGAATGGAATCAAACAGACTAGCATTAATCCGAAACTGATGATTAACAAGGTTTTTCTGACAGAATGCTAATTACTCCCAGCATAAACCGAGTTGTATGAGTTATGACATCACTTATAAGTAGTGCAACCCGCGCTTGAACCAGGGCAAGTTAATATTGAAATCGCTACGCGATCCGCGACGCCCTTTGTGGTCCCAAAGAGGCTCTATGTAAGCTCTCAAGTGCCACAAAGTAGGATTAACGTGTTGTATCAAAATTGCCCATCCCTCCCAGATGGTGAGAATGCGGAGGCTGCAGCGGGACTGCATGCCGGCCCAGACTCAATGTTCACGTCCAAAACTGGATTTTGGATAATTTCGGAAGCAAAAAAACTTGGCTAGATACTGCGGGCAGGGAATGCTGGCAATGCTGGCAATGCTGGGAATGCTTGGAAAATGCAGCGTCAAAAAACCTAGTGTTTTTCGATGCTCCGCACAAACATGTCCCCAGAAAAACAAACACCGACCGCAAAAGTGGAACTTCTTTCGCAACAAAACTGAAAAAAACAACTCCGGGCGCAAGTCGTGCTCGCGCCTCAGGTCTTGCGACTGCCGCGACTCTTCCTCCGCGGAGCGCAGCTGCCGCAGCATGCCCTTGGCCGGAACTGGACACACCCGGAAGGCGTCAGAGCGACAGGGTTCAGATCCGGGTTCTGACCCAAGGAACGTTTCTGGTGGCTCCCCCATTCGTTTCTCCTTGTGTTTTCCCGCAAGCATGGCGAAGGGTTCTTCCGCTGGGTTCACCTGAGTTGTTCTCATGAGAGTCATTGCAACGTGTCATTGCAAGGAATCATCATCATGAAAGTCATTGCAAGGAGTCATTGCAAGAAGTCATTGCAAGGAGTCATGGCAAGGAGTCATGGCAAGGAGTCATTGCAAGGAGTCATGCAAGGAGTCATTGCAAGGAGTCATTGCAAGGAGTCAAGTGCAAGGAGTCATGCAAGGAGTCATTGCAAGGAGTCATTGCAAGGAGTCATTGCAAGGAGTCATTGCAAGGAGTCATTGCAAGGAGTCATTGCAAGGAGTCATTGCAAGGAGTCATTGCAAGGAGTCATTGCAAGGAGTCATTGCAAGGAGTCATTGCAAGGAGTCATTGCAAGGAGTCAAGGAGTCATTGCAAGGAGTCATTGCAAGGAGTCATTGCAAGGAGTCATTGCAAGGAGTCATTGCAAGGAGCCATTGCAAGAGTCATTGCAAGGAGTCATGAGAGTCGTTGCAAGTTGCAAGGAGCCAAGTGCATGGAGTCAAGTGCAAGTTGCAAGTGCACGGAGTTCAGTGCAAGTTGCAAGTGCAAGGAGCCAAGTGCAAGGAGCCAAGTGCATGGAGTCAAGTGCAAGTTGCAAGTGCATGGAGTCAAGTGCAAGTTGCAAGTGCAAGGAGTCAAGTGCAAGTTGCAAGTGCAAGGAGTCAAGTAGTTGCAAGTGCAAGGAGTCAAGTGCAAGTTGCAAGTGCAAGGAGTCAAGTGCAATTGACTTGCGAGGAGTTAAAATCTCTTCTTAGGGCGGCGGGGTAGTGCCGACGACACTACACGAAAACCGACCCTCTGCGGGGATCGGCGTGGTCGAGGTGCAAAAACTCGAGGTTTTTGCGATCTTTAACCTGCTCGCGCGACCCTCTGCGGGGATCGGCGTGGTCGAGGTGCAAAAAACCCATGTTTTTTTTTTGCGATGTTTAACATTCCCGCGCAACCCTCTGCGGGGATCGGCGTGGTCGAGGTGCAAAAACTTGAGGTTTTTCAAAAAAAAATAGGTTTTTTGCGATTTCTAAAGTTCCCGCGCGACCCTCTGCGGGGATCGGCGTGGTCGAGGTGCAAAAACCCATGTTTTTTTGCGATTTTTAACATTCCCGCGCGACCCTCTGCGGGGATCGGCGTGGTCGAGGTGCAAAACTCCGAGGTTTTTTTTGAAAAAAACTCGAGGTTTTTTGCGATTTCTAAAGTTCCCGCGCGACCCTCTGCGGGGATCGGCGTGGTCGAGGTGCAAAAACTCGAGGTTTTTTACGATTTTTGTTGCTCGAACTGGTCCTCGGGAGTTGTCTCGTGGTTCGCGCGCCTGCTCCCGGGACCGGCGGGTCGCGGGTTCGATTCCTCCCTGGTCCGCGGGCCGGAGTCGCAAGATGCAACTTGCATAAAGCAACTTGCGCAGAGCAACTTGCGCAGAGCAAGTTGCACAGAGCAACTTGCGCAGGCCAACTTGCACCGACCAGTTTGCGCAGAGCGCCTTGCCTAGAGCAACTCGCGCAGAGCAACTTACGCAGAGCAACTTGCACAGAGCAACTTGCACAGAGCAGCTTGCACAGAGCAACTTGCAGGGAGCAACTTGCACGGAGCAATTTGCACAGAGCAACTTGCAGGGACCAACTTGCACGGAGCAACTTGCGCGGAGCAACTTGCGCCGAGCAACTTGCACAGTGCAACTTGCGTAGAGCAACTTGCGCAGACCAACTTGCACCGACCAGTTTGCGCAGAGCACCTTGCCTGGTGCTGTCTCGCGCTTGCTTCACGAATGCTTCGTGTAGGGAAAAGGAACGCATCCTGCAGCGTTGGGCCGACCTCGCGTGCGATGTTATGTTTTCGGGCCAACCGTGGTCTTTTTTTTTTTCCGGATGGGCTCATGAAGTGCTACTAAAAAGTGATGTGTTCGCGTCCTGCTATGCTCATTGGGATGCAAGCCTGCAAGACTCCAGTTCTGGGTAGTCTTAAAAGGACACCAAGTTCCACGTTCGACGTTCATATTTTGAGGCTTGGCCAGCCAATCCCCCCCAAGAATCCCTGGACGGAACCACGAAGAAACCAAATCCTTTCGTAACCTGAAGGCAAGACGACTTTTCAACCAAGCACTAACCTCCAGTGAGGGGTCGATCAAAAGGTCCTTGACGTGGAATGAAAATCTGGGAAACCACAAAAAAAGATGATCTCTGAACGAGGTAATTTGTGGCCCAGGAATATTGACCAACCCCCATATACGCCAGGGTCAAAATACGTGCAAAATGAGAGCTTGACCCTTAAATTTTGTGGGTAAGTCCCCGTAGATGCTTTGATATAAGATAATTCTGGAAAATATCGAATGGGCGGTGAATAGACCCTTGGACTTCTAAACTTACACTCACCCAATGAAGTAGCCCATCGGATGGAAAGGCGCGTGCTTCCGAGCCCCCAAATGTAAACGATCCGCCCTCCCCCCCCAAAAAAAGGAAGCCGGATTCCCCAGCAAATTCGTGGGTCAACCCGAAAAAGGCTTGGTGGCTGTTGGGCCCTCTGCAAAAAGTTGTTCTTAACTTTTTGGGGGTTTTGTGGAAAACCCAACTTGATTTCAACCAAAAAGTGAAAGTTTAAAGATCCAACCCAATAGCAGTCAAGAAGGCATCAAGTTGGGTCTGTGCCCTCTGCCACTTCCTCGCCCCCTCGCCCGCCTCCACCTGCGTCTCTCGGTCTTTCAGCTTGGCCTGGCGAGAGACACCCAGCCAATTCAGCAGACTGCTACTGTTAACCCATGAACTAAAACCAGGCACATCCGTTTGGTGTCACTTTGGTATCCGTTTGCTATGTGTGGGTATCCATTTGCATCTGGACTCCCGTTGGCATATTCGCGTGGGCTTGACATGTGCAGCGCATTCGAATGCGGCTGCCTTGCTGTGTGGCATTGAAACTCCACACGAAACGTCGCCCAGGCTGACCAAGTATTCAAGATTCATGTTTTGCCTAAGATACAAGTGGAGGCAAACACCAAGCCAGACAAAACATAAGCCAATCACATGGTGGCTTCATCCCTCCTGAGGTTGCAGCTTTATCGCTCCGGTTGTGGAAGCACCTCCAGCCATGACGGCTGATGCTATCTTCTGAAGCAAGGATCCCTGGATTCAGAATGAGTGGTCGATTTCCATGATTATGCGCGACTTTCGGAAGACGTTCCGGCTTCTCACACGAAAATAAATGGGTGTGGCTCAATATTAAACAGGAGGGGCAAACTGCAGGTTGCTACGCGGGCTTCCGATAAGCTCCACACGCAAAAGGTTCCTGCAGCCTGGAGATACGCCCTCATGCTCCCCTTCAGACAAATCCCGGACTCGCGGACTTTCAAGACTCCCCAGTCGATGTCTTCTCCCAAAACCTCCAGTGCTCCTATTCAACACCCCAAAACGCTGTGGAATTCCGGAAAACAAAGAATTCAGTGGCCGGTGGATTTTACGCTCTCAAGAAAGAAAAAGGCAAGAAAAAGAGCACACCGCACTGGAGGTCCCCTTCCAGAGAAAAGCGCGCTCTATAAGACGTCCCAGAAGGGGCCTGCACCTCGCGGCGAAGCAGCTTTTGCCTCTCCTCCTCTTTCCCGGAGATCTGATCCTGAAGCTTCAGCATCTGCTCCTGACAACTTCGGGTGGGGAGGGGAGGATGGCGGAGGGCCGGGGGGGCGGAGGGGGGGAGCCCAACTAAGCCCCTGCCCTTCATACGGCCTTAATAAGAGCTCCTTCTCTCCCCCCCCCCTGCCCCCGCCCCCCCTGCCCCCATGACGGCTCGAAGTCGCCCGTGTTTCTTTCCCGGCCACAATAAGCTCCGCGTAGCATTCAGCGTCTCCTGCTGTCTTTGAAAGATCTCCGTGAGGCGATCCAGCTCGCTCTTCTGAGCCTCTGCAGTCCCGGGGACATGTGCACGAGCTTGGTAAGAGTTATACCCATGGAGATAAACTGTAGCCATCTTGTAACCCTTGACATGACCTACTTACTATAGGTGGTTAGAGTAGGGGACGAACCTTTTGCTATTTCTCTTTGAAATCCCCTTGAGGAGGGGGGAGTAGGGGACGAACCTTTTGCTATTTCGTGTTGAAATCCCCTTCAGGAGGGGGGACATATTCACCCATACTGCGCATTGCCCAAATCCCATTTTGCAGCCTCAGGGCCTTGTTTGGGAAATAACTATGTTATTCCCCCAAACCAAAAACAAACAAACAAACAAACAAACAAACAAACAAACAAACAAAGAACCAAATCAAACATGCCGCTGAAACAGTAACAGGCTGGCGTTCCTGCAATTGGACAACTCGCATGACCAAAGTCTTGCAAACCCCTTGGGGCACCATGGAAACATCCTGCCGCGCCTCATTTGCGCAATGGTCACACCAGGGTAGACAAAGCCAAGAAGCCGGCCAGTCCAAAGCGGTTCTTTGTTGCTCTTGACGAAGCGGATGTCCAATAGCCAACGTGTTAGTCACAACAGGGAACCCACAAACTCGTGATGGTGCTTTCGGTTTCCTTCCTAGACGCATTTCCCCGCTATGATCAAAGCACACAGCGCGAGACCTGGGCAACGATAGTCAAACGCTGCTCCGAGAGGTGTCCGAGCCATGGACAACAACTGTTCGCCTAAGAGGACATGATAAATTTGGGCCCGTAATCTCCAAGTAGCCGCCGTTTGCAGGATATGTTGTCAGCCCTTGATTTGTTGAAGCAACCTTAAAAGACCGGGAATTTGGAGTAGGCGCAGCCCCAGGTTGTTTGCGGCTTGGACCCAAAACCAAAGACCAAAGACCTGATTCATGAACTAGACGTGGCCAGTCTGATCCGACGCAAAAACTTAACTTCGTAAGGAAACCCAAAAGGGCCTTTGAGGATTGAGGGCAAAGGAGTTCGGGGTCTTTGGAAGGCCGACCGGTCAATTGCTCACGCCTTGATCTTCTGCTTCAGAAGCACGGTGTCTTCATCGTCGGAGTCATGAAGCTCATCACTGGCCTGACAAGGTGCATAAGCAAGCTGCCCAATCCTCCAGAATCTTCCCCTCCCCCCCCCGGAGAAAAAAAAAACCGGAAGAACAACAGCCGACTTTTGGAGGTTCCCTTCTCCAAATACCTGTTTTCTCCAGGGTGTGCTTGGGAAGGCCAGATTTTCCATCAACACCTCCTTTTTATCCGGGCTGACATCATTGACATCTTACCCAGAAAGGTAGATATTGGTAGGCTATGGACTGGGCCACGCTTCTAACCCGAACCTTGTGGAAGGAAACCAAGTTGAAATTGCGATTGCCCACCGATTCCCCTTCGAGGTATGCCAAGCAAAATGGGGTGCTGTGTTTCCCCCAGAAAACTAGGCAAACTGCAAGTTCACTCCCTCCTCAGACCTTCATTCGCTTCATTTCTCTCGCCGCACGTCGAATGATTCCCGCGCATTCGGGGGGTTAAGAAAGGGTGAGATGCAGATTCGACGGATCCGAGAGACAGGACCTTGACCAGAAGGACCTTGACGCAGACATGACACAGGGTTGTGCTTGTCAAAACCGTTCTAGGATCCCATTTTGGTTGGTAGGTGAATTCACCACCCATTTTAGAACCTATTTTAGTGGTTGGATTGGGAGGTTCACTGGGGGATAACGCCCAAACCAGGCTTCGGTGTCCCATTTACCCTCAAGAACCTGTGAAACAGCCAAACCGAGTCCAAGCCACCAATTCTATGAATGATCCGGTTGTTTGTTTTTTTTGGAGGGGTACCGGGGTACCCCCTAAAGTGGCCTACCCCACCAGGGTCCTTGACTGGGAGGGCGCCCGGCGAACGCCGCGGCCTCCACGCCCGCCGCTTCGGAGCTCGGCGCCGCGGCAACCGCGGCGGCGGCGCTCCGCGCGTTGGCGGCGACGGAGCGGAACTCCTCCGCCTCCTGGGGGGGTTCCTCGACTTTGGTGCTGTAGATCTCGCAGCAAAAAGTAGAACATTTGGAGGATAACAGGAAATATCAGCAAAAAGATGTGTTATTTTTTTTGGGGGGTGTTTTTTTTTGGGGGGGGGGAGGATAACGGTTAACTTTTTGGAGGTTAAAGGCAATTATGGGTATCCGAAAAGTGAAAGTCTAAAGATACAAACCAATAGCAGTAGAGTCAAAGGGCCAGGGCTGTGGTTGAAATGAAATCCACTTCTGTGATACAACAGACAGGGCCTCGCCCCGAAGACAGGTTTAGGGTTTAGGGTTTAGGGTTTCGGGACGAGATTTCCCCCCCCCCTTTTGTAGAGGGAGATGCCCAGTATCACAGACTTGGCTGGATAAACCGCTTGTGATCCCACAAACGGCCACATGCTCAGCCTAGACTTGGTTCGAGAGATAGGAATTAGAAATGGGATGAACCCAGGCTTTCCGAAAAAGAAGGATAAGCCATCCATCAGTAGCATCTGTTGTTTCCATTCAGGCAACCTTCTCAACTAGGGAAACCCGCTGAAATCGGCTGAACAAAGGGAACACC